GAGCTCCTATTCCCTGATTCCCCATATCATAATGTGGTGCAGCCTTCCTCTGAAGCTAAGACACAATGATTGAATTGTAGAATTAAAAGAGGTGTTAGGAAAATGTTTTCTTACCCCAGATAGTCTGCAAAATGGAAAAAAAAAGTATCTCTTTAGAGATCCCCAGTAAGAGAGAGAGAAGAAACAGGGTAGAAAGAATTTAAAAAAGAAGGCAAGCCACAACAGTTATTGCTGGGAGAAGAGGAGAGGAGAGAGAAAAAGAAGGGGACCATCTGTGAAATACAATGAGAGACAGCTGCTCATTAATAAAGTTCAAGGGATGTGAAAATTGGATTCAACAAGTGGCACAAATATCCTCTCAAAGTTACTGGTCTTCTCTTTTATTTCTCTGGAAAAAAACAAAGTGAAAGCTATTGTGCACCGATCACCTTTCTTATAAGACACTTTCTGTGTCCAAAAAGACCTTACTAACAATCTTGAAATTGGAATGGACCTTAGAGATAATGAAATACAGAACACATCTTTGAAAAGATAAGGAGGCATTAGTCACTTGTTAGCCATCCTTTAGTAAAAGAGCCTTAATCCAAACCTCCCAATAACTGGACCAGCACCCTTCCTACTGTACTTTGCAACCTTGAAATCAGGAGAGTTGGGAGACCCATCACATCTTGCCTGAAGAGAACAAGGAGAGGGGAGAAGTCGATAAAAAGTTAAGCAGCTGCTCATCATTCTTAATACATGGTGACTGGCTCCACTAATCAAGTCCTCTCTTCTATGTCCCACATAGGAGCTAACACATTTTTTGGGCTCAGTACATAGTAAGCCTTCAACTGCTTCAAAGTATAACAAGACCTTACACATGTTTCCTAAGCCCCCAGCACCAATGAATTTGTAGTTTTATAAATATCATGGTGAACAAGAAATGCTGTCTTGTCATATTCAAGCCAAATAACAGCTGGACTTTAAAAATAAAATTTTGAAGGCATTTGCCTTTTATATTTTTAATTTCTGTTTTCCTGGCTTATGGTTTTGTCATTTGATTTTGATGAGTGTTTAATACACATATGCACAGCTGCCTCTTTGGGTGACCTTTCCTTTGCAGCTTCCATGCTCAGAGCTATGAAGCAGGTCCTCAAGTTGCTTAGTAAGTGGTATTGGCATTTTCATGACTGCCAGACATTTTCCTGGGAAGCCCAGCTGGACCAGGCCCTCATCTCCTAGGCTGACGTACGTTAGTCACTTCAGAAGCCTCACAGGAGGATGGGGTTCAAGTCCCTTAAGATTGCTGTTCTGCATTATTCACAATAACCAAACATGGAAACCACCTAAGTGTACATCAATGTACATCAATGGATGAATAGATAAAGAAAATGTGATACACACACATACACTCCTCTTGAAGGAGTTTTTTGTGACTATTATACATCCACAAAAGAAAATCCTGCCATTTGCAACGACATGCATGGACCTTGAAGACATTATGCAAAGTGAAACAAATCAGACAGAGAAAGACAAATACTACTGTATGGTTTCACTTATTTGTGGAATCGAAAAAGGAAAAACTCAGAAACAGAGTAGAATAGTGGTTTCCAGGGATTAGGAAGGGGAGAGATGTTGGTCAAAGGCTATAAACTTCTAGTTATAAGATGGCTAAGCTCTGGGAGCTAATGTATAGCATGGAGACTGTAATTAACAGTTCTGTATTATATACTCAAAAGTTGCTCAGAAAGTAGATCTTAAATGTTCTCATTAAAAACGAGGCAATCATGTAAGGTGATAGATGTGTTAACTAACTTGTGGTAATCCTTTCCTAATATACATGTGTACCAAATCATCACATAGTACACATTCATTTTACCCACTGCCACATATCACTATCTGAATAAAGCTGCAAAAAAACATCTAACTTGCTGTTCCAAGCCAGAGGAAACATGGACATGATCATGTACGGACTGAGAAGAGGAGGCATGCTGGGCTAGAGCTGCAGAACTCACCTGGCCATTGAGCTCACCTAAACAGCTTTCACTCTGAATCTCTGGGCGGCACAACCAAATCTTGATCTTTTTAACATGTTTCTCAAAGACAATTATGCCTATCTGTCTGTCTGTATGCATTTCCCTTTTAATCTTCTGTCTTCCTTCACTAGACTTTAAACTCCAAGCAGTCAGGAACATATCTGTTTTGCTTCCCTTGGTTTATCTAGTGTCTAGTTCTGGCCCACAGCAGACACTTAAGAAATGTTTTGTTTTGTTTCATTTCATTTCATTTTGTTTAGACCACAAAGTGATTGAGGAGTTTATAAGCTATAGTTATTCTTTCACTACAGTCCCTTCTTACTCTTCCTGTTAAGGAAAATATGAAGGAGCAAAGTAGAGAAAATATTATGTGTACCTGTTATCTACTCTGACTTTAATATGAACTGTAACTCCAGCAGGCTTTGCAACTAGCTCTTACTTGAACAAATGCCAGGAAATATCCTGAAGTCAGCAGAAGACTGCTACCCATCCCAGCAGTCCTCACAAAGGCAGTGCACTTCTGTCGATATTAGAGCCAGTAACTTGACTCCATTCATGAACTCAGTCCCCCAAAAGCACATGAGGTCTCAATGGCAACTCTGGGCAAGCTTCTGAAGGGAGGTTTTCACACGCTCCTTAAGCTCCTGGGCCACTACAGCCCTTCTACTATTACACTCATCAGGCATTGCTGCTGTGTATGACAGAGTAACACGAGAGCTGGTATATGGCATGACTTGCTATATTTAGGGGAGAGGAAATGGGCCATACTGAGGAAGGTCACAAGGAGTCTGTTCAGAAAAGTGAAGGCACCATGTATTTATCTTATACACAGGGCATGCCATATAGCACAGTAGTTAGAAGCTTGGGTTCCGGAGCCAGGCTGCCTGGGGTTGACTCTCAGCAATATGCTTACTAGCTGTGTGACCTGCGGCAAGTTACTTAATTACTCTTGTCGTTAATATTCTCATCTGTAACATGGAAAAGAAATAATAACGCCTTCTTTACAGTGTTGCATAAGGTTTACATGAGAAAATATGCATAAAAAACTTAGCATATTTTCTTGAACGTAAGTGCTTCAGAAATGTTTGCTAACAAACAACAACAAAAACCAAATTAACTAGGAAATTGGTCTGAATCCAGACAATCTGGGTATGAAATGGAATTTCCAAGAATATTTCTATACAATATGTCGCTCTATAATTAAGGTTTTCATTTTTTCCTTTCATAATGGTTAATAACTCCAATCAGGCTTTTTAATTTACCAGGCACATAATATCATCAACTAATTATTAACATTATTAAGTGGTGACTGACTATATGTATACCCATTATACAGTCAAGAAACCAAATGAAGAAGGAAGAATGATAGGTTAAGAAAACTGGTGTAACAAGGGTAGGGTGATAGAACTCTGTACTTCCTGGTCTATGGAAAAATGAACAGGCTGAATACTCCAAAGTGTTGAAAAATGTTATTTCATTGTATATGGTCAAAGATTTAGGTACCCCATGGTACAGTCTTGCAACAACATTGAGATGGACCTGGCCTGAATAAACTGGCTCCCTAGGCCAAGGAACCTCAGCCCTCATGAGGAAAAACCTATACTTCTAAGTGCCTATAAAATGTCAGTGTCACTGTGCTCTTGGTACACATTCTTCATGAAAGGCAGCAAGTGTATGTCTGGCTTTAACCTCCCTCCTACCTCTTCCTCCCCTCTGCTTCTCTTTCTATTTCTCCTCCTTCTCCTCCTCTTCTCCATCTTCCTCCTCCTCCTCTTCCTTTTCCTTTTCCCTTTCCTTGCCCCCATCCCCCACATACATGATGGTCAGAATTTAACGCCTTGTCCCCAGGACTATCTTGAAACATCAGTCTCTCCTACTGGTATAAAAATGTGCCTTCTAAATACTCTGTGAAGTGCCTCCTAATGTCTGTAACTGCCCATCTTTTAGTGTTCATGCCAGGGATTCCTGACTGCCTGGGATGGCCCCAAGCTGTCACCAGAAGCCATGTCTAGTTAGATGTGACTATGAAATGTCTTCATGTGTTTTCAAGGGATTAGGGTCCTGGAAGAAATTTTGCCAGTAAAAGGGATAATAGTAAGATTCTTCTCCTCAAGCAAAAAAAGAACTTTAGCTGGGACCTAAGATAGGTGAAGTATTGTGTTACTCTGAAGAGAACAAATTAATCTTCCCTGACTGGTGGGAGGGATTCTGCCAAAGGAACAGCTAACGGGAAAACCAGTCCCTACTCTGTGATGACACAGTAAATAACCAGGCAACATTACTACTGAAGTGCTGACCCAACTCATAAATTGTACCCAGCCTCTGGGGAGCAATTTCTGCTGATTTGCTGCTTGTGCATTTAAAACAAACAAACAAAAAGGTAAGAGAAGTGGACAGGCATTGACAGTGCCATGGATAAACCCACTCAGAGTGAAGCTGGTCTTTCTATCTAGACTTTCACAAGATTTTAGTAATGGACAGTGCTCAGGCATAGGCTGAAGAATTATTAATTTTACACTAGATCTGCTGCAAACCATCACTGAGTTCCCAAAAAGGTTTGATTACACCTGGGACTCACTTGATTTAGGGTCAAAAAAAATCCTCCTTTGTATAAGTTAGTGCTTTTTTAAAATAAGTATGTAGTGACGTGGATGAAACACAGAATTCTGTTATTCATTGGAGCGCGGAGGGTCATTTTATTCAAAAACTTTAAAGTGGCACCTTGAAGTACATGAATCACTATGTGTTTGGTAATATAGGATCTAGCTACATCTCAGTGTCCTCAACTATAATATATAATATATAATGGAGACTAGCAGTTCCTCTGATTTGACAAAAAAAAAAAAAAAGAAAGAAAAGAAAAAACAAACAAACAAAAACCCCAGCTGGCACTCCTGAGAAAGACTGTATAATCCTATAGCTAACTCAGATGCACCTTCACAAATGCCCGGAGCAGCAGAAAAGAGCTACGGAAAAGCCACTCACCCTCTGCATCTTCTGGCCGAGTAAGATCGATGACACCTGGGCCCAGCTTTCCATCTTCACTTGACTTTCCTGTTAACTGGGGCCCCAAATTCTCAAAGCGTGTTCTTTCCTAGAGGAAAGAATAATCAGAGGCTTATTCTAGCTTCCGAAGCAGCCACTTTTTCCTTCCAGTTTCTATCTTGCTTAGCGGGCAAAACTTGGATTTACAAACATCATTTCTGACCAACTGGGGCTCAGAAAATTTCTCAGGAAGATTCCACTAAAGCCTGGTGGTGGCACTGACAGTGCTGACAGCATCTAAAGCATAATACCTGTAAGAAAAGGAAACCTGTGCCGGGAAGCCTGCTGGGCTGCACAGTGCATCTTCTCTCAGTGAGATTTGCTCCAGTAATCTAAAAGGAATGCAATTGAAAGATTTGAGCCCAATATGCAAAACTTGAAAGAGCAATTCCCGTTAAAATATACTGCTAGTTAACAGGAGAGGAATTTTCTCATTTAGAGATCGCAGTTTGCGTTGGTATTCCTGGGAAAATACAAATCGGAATTTTAGGCAAGAGGATTTCAAAAACAAATGTTTCAAAGCAGGCAGACTATATGATGGCATTGATGCTATTATTTTGCCTAGGAGTTTCAACTGTAACTTCTTGGGAAGTAAAAAGATTATTACTCCCAGCCGGCCATGGAGTCAGGAAATTTAAATACTCCTGCTGTGTTATAGGGGGGAAACTCAAACATGTTTGTCTTGTTAACCAGTTCTTCTAGGACAAGGAGCCTGAAATATCACAGTGAACTCTCCTGCTGCAGCTCTCCAGATCAGTAGCAGAGGGCTCACTGACCATCACTAATACGGTGTTCTTGTCTGCAAAAACATAGCACGTGTCCCCTTCACACCTCCTTGCTACTCTCCAGACTCAAACTTGGCTTTGTGTTGTGCTTATGAATGAATGAAACCTTGTTGTTCATTACTATGAAACAATATTAAATGTCATGTCAGCTTGAATTTACAGACATGAAATAGCAGCTTCCAGCTCCGGGAATGGTTTCTGCATGTTATACTTAATGCATTATGCAGCAGTAGAGTGCTGATTGCTGTTCAGTCTATTGTTCAATGACCTAGTTCTGTACTGAGCATGTTCAGCATTAGATGGAAATACTCTGAGTGTTCTCTTCTGTAAGATGTTTAGAAACTTGGAAATATCCTTAAAGAGCAAACATACAATTACTTGATAGAGGCTGTGTCTCATTTGTACAGCCTCACTACATTTGTGCTTTCTAATATTATTTTTGAATATCATTATATTTCTATAATTAATTCCCATCAGTCAAATTGTGCAGGAAGTCTTCCAGTTCTCCTTCATCATGGAATATGTTGAAATCTGTGTCGGAAGAAAACACAGAATAAACCTTGCTTTAATCTAGCACCATCTCTATGAAAGATTTGCAACAAAATTATAGTCCCGAATTTCCCTCACCGGGCAATACTAACTAGTTACACAAGTAGGAAATGGGGAAACCTCCGAAGTACCACACTTACAAAATCAGAATGAAAATAAAAAGCAAATTAGGCATGGTTCCCCAATATCTTATGTGAAAACACCACTGCAAGAGAACAAATTAACCCAGATGCAGGCCTCAACAAAAAGCAACCACAAGCCGTGTGGGAGTTTCACACATTGTCGGGGGGGGGGGGGGGGGGGGGGGGGGGGGGGGAAGGACAGCTGCTTTTAATCAGCCAATTTCTATTTTTGAGTAGCACTTTCAGTTGTCATGATGTAAAGAAAAAGAATTAAAGTGAAGATGAGTAGTACCAGGGAAAGCAAAATATTCAACCTTTGTTTTATCACATTGTTTCGCATTTCAAATATTTGCATGTGAATGCTCTCCCTGTGTTAAATGCAAAAGGAGTTTTGATGTGACACCTGCAATCTTCTTGGAAGAACAACCTTTAACTGTATTTTCATGGGGGGAAAACAACTTTCTCTGAAAATCAACAGACCGTGCTACCTATCAATATGCATATTTCAAGTATCTTTCTAGTCATTCATTCTCTTTGATTTTACCGGAAAATATTCTCAGTAAAAAAAATAAAGTTCCTGAAAGAATATCAATATTTTGACAAGGAAGGAGAAGAGGGAAAATTACATGCCATGGTTTGTAAAATCCTAAGACAACAAAGCTTACATGATGATAATATCTTTTCTTTTACAAAAAATGAAGTGCACTCACAATTCAGTATTATCAGCTTGCTTTTAATCATAACAAAAAACATTCGGAACATTCAACAACACATTCACAGGGCCTTTGAAGTCATACATTTTTCTGACTTCATTGAAAAAAACATTCTTCTGCAGAGCTACTTTCCTTATAAAATATCAATATTTTGACAGAGTAGAAGTCAAGGAAGAATATCCCACGAAACACTCGTTAAACAGGCAGAAAATAAATCAATGGTAAAAATTGTTTGGGGCAGTGGGCTGCATTTTATAGTTGGTAATATTAAGCACTTGTGTTTGAGATTAAAGAAGGACCCTGCAAAGCCATGCCCTTTCATATAAATTTCTACCTAATCCCCCAGAAGATTTCCTTCTTCAAAGAAGAGCTCAGAATATTTATTTGCCAGCCACATAACCATAAGATAAGAGGGCCCGATGTCTACAAGTTATCTCTGGGCAGCTGGGCCAAGCAAAGATTTTACCAATAAGGTTGAAAATGAGCCTAGTAAATACAGGATGTGTACATGGGCACATAGATGAGTTCAAAGATACTTTAGTTCCAACAGGCTTCAAGTTCTGGCCATGAAGTGCCAGTGGGTATGTGCCTATATCAAACAGAGACTTGTGAGTGGCAAGTTCTTAACTCCAAATTTTGCCCACACACTTGAACTAGCTCTCACAATATACATATTGTCCAAATAAGATACTTTGGAGAAGTAAACAAAAGAGATGAATGCTAATTTAATACCCTCCCCCCCCCCCAGGAAAATACCTCAATTTTCACGTTGACGGTGAAATGTGCATTTTACATGCAGCAATGTGATCAGACACTTACTTATGCATTGTCAGTCACAAAACACGCAGGCAACATAAAAGTTACTGAAAAAAATTAAAGTCAGCTCTGCTGTGTTGTAGGGACTGTTGGCTCTCTAAGTGCTTTGAAATTATGATGTATGAGGTAGATGTTGCATATTAAATAAAGATATTTCAATGATAAAGCCCCCTTTAGTGAGAGCTGATGAATGTTAAATGTTACAAGCCACAAGACGGTGGCATCCATCATCTTCACATATTATCAGAGTCAATGATGGGGCAGCCTCACTGATGACAGATAGACTGCTGCATTATTATCCCTTCTTTCCAGAGTCACTGCACAAACCATTCAAGTCCTCGAGCATTATTTTTAACTTTGCATTAAATTAGCAACTTTTCTCTCCCTACCATGGCAAGATTGATCAATTTTGTTTTTGCATCAGTGGAGAAAGAGAATGGATCTGGGGTAACTCAAAGAACAGAGGCTTGTTTCCATCCAGGAAAAAAAAAATCAACTTCCTCTCACTGGCAACAAATGTAAAATTGTGATATGGGGAAAGAACAGCAATGAAACAGTAAGCACACAATAATGGCTTTTCTTTGCACTTAGATAAAAGCTGAATTTTTGATGCGCACAGTATATTTTAATAAAATTTTATATACTATGTTTTATACACTTATTGGCTATTCCATAATAATGTGTGTGCTAACAGTAAAATTGCTCTTAAATTTATGTGTGTTATTTATACGTTCCCCCGTAACAATGCTTTTTGTTGTAAAAAATATTCTGTTTATTAATGTAACTTTACAACCGCTGCATCCAAGATCCGTGGTAAATTAATGACATTTTTATTATTTTATAGTGTCATTAAATTTTTACTGATCACTCCATCAAACAGAGGCAGTAAAGGCCATAATGTAAACTGGGACACTTAGATCAGGCAGCAGGAAGACATTCCATATAGTCTGAAGAAAACTGCTAGCAATAAATGATATTTATACCATCTTTAAGCATGTTAGAATACTTGGATAAGTTTGGCAAAACTGTTTCAGTAGTAGAGTGGATTGTGTACTTAAATAACAGTTTGCTTGCTAGCAAGATAAGTCTTTTTCAAACCATATGTGAGGTGACTGAATGCAGCCCTCTCCTGGAAAACAACACGCGAAACGTATGTTTCCCTGGGTACCCTCCCCTTGGGATTACCGAGACTGACCAGCCTATGCCATACCTCAAATTACTGCCACACAGACCCCTTTTCTACAAACTGAAGTGGAAATTGGTAAGTGCTGAGACAAGCATTTCGTTTGTTGACTTACAAACAAATATATTTCATTTGACAAGTAGACATAGCTGGACAATGATGTGATATATTTTATTCCAATGGTCCAGATGAGAGGTACTTCACCAACCTTTATTCAAAGCTCGTTTCTAAAGAATGTCTGAATGTGAACTCATTCATAGCAGCCACAGAACATACACCTAAGGAGCCACTACCTGCATTGCAGTTAAAATGGGCAAAAAATAATGATCTCAATTTACTTTCTCATATAAAATACATTATATTAGTATACTCTATGCTGATTCTCAATTATTCTGTTTATAGAATATTTGTATATATATTTTATGCAAGTATTTTGGAATATTTTATATAAATGTATACACATATATATTTCTACATGTAGACAATAGTAATTAGAACAATTTATGCTCATGTAATCACCCATTTAGTACCACCTCTTATTAAGTAAATAAAATCTTGTTGTTATATCCTGAAATACATTATTTAAATATTGAAGACTTTTTCAAATCTTTCAAATATGTAATATTAAGGAATTTTGTAGGGATGTTAACACTGTAGTGGCACCAGTCATGTTCTTGCATATTTCTGAAGCAGGGTTTTCTGAGAGAAATAACAAATTCTCGCATTATGAATAGGAATTCTCTAAGGCCAGCACAATGTCCTGAGATATTATCTGTCCTCAAAATTTTAGCTTTGTCAAAGCTGTTGAGGACTCCCCAGAAGAGGTCTTGTCACTTCATCCCAACTCTAAGCGTTAATGTTTCTCCAACTCAGGGAATTTT